TTTCCTCCAAATGCATTAACTTGCAGTGGATGATCTGGTCAGATTCTGCTACCTTGTTTAGTCTCAAAACACTTGGGCTCCATCACTTATGGTTTTAACTCCCCATTAAGTCTGATCTCCTACTACTCTATGAGCACTGTGATAACATTACTCTTCCTAGATCTGTTTTTCTAATCGTTCTTCACATGCGTCACTACTTTCCCTCTATTGCTTCGTCATTCCATCAAAGCAAAGTCTAGCAACTCGTCCCGTTCATGCTATATTGATATTTTTTTCACTTATTTTCCTTTTAGATGTGAAGTTTACATATATTCTAACAATCTCTCCATCAAGTGTGAATCATATCACTTCACATTTCGATGGGACAAAAACCAGAGACCCGTGACCTAAGTGACACCAAATCATTTCTGGGAAGAGCAATCTGATACATGAAAATAGTGTTTCGAACCACTTATCTAAAGTGCTTTTTTTTTTTTCCAAAGGACAGTGACACTTCCAAATAAAATAGACTTTGGTTTTACAGCTTAAAAAAAACTCACAAGTAAAATAGATAGAAAGGAGTTTTTACTTTCTTAAATACACTTATGCAAGAAATACTTATTTTTATATACACCACCACTAAGAAGTATGAATACGGACACGGAACACAGATACGATACAACATAGATACGCAACAAAAAAATATATTATATATATAACATTATATAATTTATTACAAATATAGTGATAATGATATACAATTTATAAAAGATTCATTATTTTATAATAAGTAAATTTGATGTCTAGTTATACTGTGTGAATTTTTAGACTAAAGCATCTTCATAATAGTCAATAATCATCATTTTTTTTTGTAGACAATGTGTACCTAATATATAATTTAAATAATTGCTCTCAATTTTTTAATTCCTCTTTTTAAAAATTTTTATGCACCTTTTGTTTTTATTATTATATTTGGATTACAATTTTAACATGTGTAGTATTAAGTATTATATGTTATCAAAATTTTAAACTTAGTTAATTACATTTCAACATATGTTTATTGTTTAGTAATAGACATGTTCTAAAGAAGTGTTGGACACGTGTCCGAAATTAAAATTTTATTGTTTAATTATGTACACAGATAAAAGAGTATTGAATACGTGTCCGATAGTTTCTGAAGAGTGTCGGTATCCAACATGGATACATCACATTCTCGAGAATGTCTGTGCTTCGTAGCACCACCATCAGTGCATCCAACCACTGCCATCCCAGTCTTTGCCACCACCATAACCGCTACCATCATCACTGTTGCCTTACGTCATCCCAGCACCACTGCGTTGCCATCACCACCACCACTAACATCACCCCACTATCACCGTAGCCACCACCACTATCGCCCCACGATGATCACAATTGCTACCATCATCATGACCACTGCAGCAATCGCCACTATCACTACAATCCTACCACCAATTCCATTGCCACCCCCCCACCACCAACATTCGCACCCCCACACTACCATTACGGTCATCTACATTATATGTATTAATCTATATTAGCATTTAGGGGTGTATAAGTAACTCTGATACAGATTCTAGTAAAATGCATTTTATTCAAGTGTTCTTTTTTGCGATCATTCAAAGATTACTTATTCCACGAAAGTTTATTCTTCTTGTAAACTATTTTTACCAAGTACTTGTTTAGGGTACCTTTTGAATTTCATAAGTCATAGTCAAGTTGTATCAAGAGCGACATCTATGTTCTCAAGCCCTCGTACATGATCTCACTTCTTCTGTTAGGGCTTGGCCCTTTCTCCGTTCTCCTTGTTCGGCGATCCAACTGATGCAAGTGCTTCTGCACTCTTGGCATTTACAGAACTAAAACTCTTGGCATGTATAGTACTAAAACAAGTTAAATTTTGTCTATTGATGCCTTGGTTTTGCCCAGTTAAATAGTATTGTTTGTTTGGTTACTGCTTGAAAGTTTGCTGATATATAGAAATTGTATTAATTATGCATTATGAATGTCACACCCAAGAGTTAAAATTTTCAAACTTCTGATTCAACATTCATAGGCCAGTAGTGATACCAGATGAGGTTTGTTGACTAGTTCAAACCGCAATGCTGTGTGATTTTGTAACAGATGCAGTGGAGTACAATGCATTGGTTTTGAAGGTTTTCCCAGAGAGTTTTTCAAAGAGATTTACATCAGTTCTGAATGTTCAAAGTTCTATGTTGTGTATGATCCGAATTCCTAAGTTCCGAAATGGTCTGCTTATTGTTTGAGTTTAATATAAGAAACTTGTTGACTGTGCTTAATTAGTTAGTGAAAACTAGGAATAATATGGTGAAGAAGCAAAACTAAAAATTTGTCTGCATTTTATCATTGAGCTTCTAATCACTTTTCTGATTCAGCATCAAGTTCCCTTAAGTTTGGACATTTCTGAATGACCGAAGGGTGAAATACTAGAGTGCCAAACTACAAGGGAGTATACGAAACTAACCCTAAAAATTTAAAACTGATGAAAGTTCTTTGCTAATTAAGAACTCAAAAGCGTAACCCCCAACTTCAAACGGATATAATGAAAGAAAGAAAAATGGCAAACAAATTCAATTAAATGTGCTGTTCAAATAGTTGTGTTAAGATTGGATTGGATGATAACATTATGTGACTTAGATTCTTCATGCTCGATGATATTTAGTTCTAATTAAGTAGGATTTTGAAATTCCTCCTTTAATCAAGTAATTCTAGGTATCTGTCGGTTAAATGAGAGATATGAAAATACTAAATGATTTAAGATCCGATTCTATCTTAGTATGCCAAATTGCCACTACTAGAGGTACCTGAAACAGGTAAATTGTCATCTGCGTATAGCATATTTTCCATTGGTCTTCTATCTGAGGACAGGTATATTTTGGTAGACCTTTATTCTAAGATCCAGCATCTCATTGTATATAATGCATAAGAATTAAGATCCTCTGTTGTCACAAACACATAAGGAAGAGAAACATTTAGATATGCTCATAAAAAGTAATGAACCAGGAAGAGTAGATGTACTTTCTGAATAGGGAAGTTCTTCTGACATCAATACTAGTCCACAGTAGTAGGTACCTCTACTACTAATTCCTTCCAAGCACTTTCCTCTATGTTGGGGTGCATGAAAAGAATAGAAGAGATGAGCAAAATGACCTTATAGGAGAAACATCAACATACATGAATTCTCCTACTGAGTGAAGTTAAATCAAGAGAATAGAATAGGGAAAAAATCCACAAAATAATTCAACAAATGAGAGATTCACAAGCAAAGGTGGGTATGACTAGCTCTTATATGTAAGTACTTTCAAGTTCTTCAGTTAACGAGAAGATGAACTGGCCAACCAAAGTGTATGAAGAGAAACCTCCTTAGGAGTGTACAGCGTTGTGCTTAATCACCTAGGTTGTGAGGGTAGCTGCCTTATTCAAGATATCAATCCCTCAAGGTTGGGGAGATGTGGTTTCCTGATCACTTAGACCAGGTAATTTTTTTTTCTTTGAGTATCTCCCTTGTGACTATACTTTGGAGGTCTTCGGTCATATCTGGATGTATATTGCATATCTATGGTTTTTTTTTTTTTTTTTTCAGAAATAAAATTCTTATTTATTCAAAAAAAAGAGTCACAACTTGACATTGGCTTTTATTCTGTTGGACTCTAGTTTCACCAGTACTAAGTAAATACAACACAAATGCACCAAGTCTTTAAAGGTCAAAGAATTGTGGCCTATCCTGACAACTACACAAGCACACTTCTTCTCAAAGTCTAGAGTCTCCCATCTTACTTGAGTTTTTGGTATGCTGAAGGAGTTTTGACCTATACAAAGTTAAGGCATGAGGACTTAATCTTACAAATGTCAACACCATTCTAACCAACATTGATTTACAATGTTAACAAGGATGGGCTATTTGATCAAAAGTTTTTTAGCAAGGGTTGTAAACTTAATGATCTTAGATGTGTTATCCTATGTTGTTCCTCATTGGCACTTGTTGGAGGAAGGGTTTATCGTTACATGTACAGATCAACATATGGGGTTCATCAATTTTGACCTTGATGTGATAAATTACTATATATGTCACTTGGAATCAGTTAAAGGATGTAAGTTCTCGAGCTATAAAATGCAGTCATGTCAATCTTGCTAGTGCAATAAGAGCCATATCAAAAAAGAGGAGGAAGCAAAACTCTAGGTCATTGCAAAATAATAGACGTGGCAATAATATCAATGGATCTTTCATGTAGTTGCTCAAAAAATGGAAAATTTGATCCATTTTTGGTGCAGTTTGGCAGTCCAATTCATGTGATTGAAGATTGATATCTTTTTTGTCGAGTTTGCAATCATTTTCAATTAATTGTTACTGTTGAGCTATTCCAAACTCGTAACTGTTGGAATCACATGTGAGCCAACAAGAAAAATTCCGACATTGGTTTGGGAAAAAAAACAAAATATTTGTCTTTATTATAAATTTAGAACGGTGTTTGAATCCAACTGTATATAAGCCCAAATTCTAATAATAACAACTTGAGAGAAACTATTTTGAACTGGGACTGCTATACATTCTCAATTCAAATTCAGTAAGTGTTCTATGGACATGAATTTGATAAGTGGCACTTACAGGAAATGTATTTAGACAAAGCTAAAATAAAATAAAATACTCCTGCGTCTCAGTTTCCATTTAGGATAATTTGTGGATTCACTAGTCATTTTACACTAAGAACTAGGAACTATCAGTTGTCTAAGGGAGAAAGGAACTGAAGTACCACAAAACTAATCAACACAAACATGCATGCTTCTTCTCATTTATTTAAATTTCAAACATCAAGCACAGTAGTTTCCATATTCTCTCTACCATATTACCAAAGCATAAGCAAAACAGAAACTGGATAATGATAAATTAGTAGTTCCAATAGTTCATACCTTAAAAATATGACCAATAGTAATTCGTACTAACTTAAATAGTAATTCTTGCAGGGGATTGGGACTGGTTTTTCTTAGTATCGAGGCTGACAATGAGAATTTGAGGTGGCCATGAATATCGAAGAAAGATTACCTTCCGGATCAACATTTGTCATTGCATAGTGATTGGAGTTGAGTCTAGCATTGTTGATGTTCCAGTTTCCAGGAAAACCCAAGAAGTGGTTATCAGAATCAATCCCACTTGAAGATATAGAATTATAGTTCTGATCATAATCGAATACCGAACGAGACGTCTTGCTTGCTGTGCCAAAAGGATTTTCAATGATAGCCACATTAGCCAATTGATGTTCAAGTGAATCAGAATGAGAATTGGCTTCAAGGGAAGAACTTTTTTCTTGACAGTGAGAACTTGTTTCTTCCCCAGTTTCAAAGGCATTGGAGGACCCTAATTGCTCCAAATTAGAATCAGGGTTTGGCTCATACCACTGTTTTGAGTTTCCCAGGCTACTGATCATTTTTCTCTCTCTTGTTCTCTCTCTTGCCCTTGCTCTTGCCTTGTCCCTGGACTCCCTTGCAAGAGGATTATGTGCTCCTTTTCTTGATTTTCTTTTATTTTGTACACCCACCAAGGTTTCAACTGTTGCTGATAACCCCTTTCTCTCTCCATCCACAGCAGTCTCTTCCATCCTTGATGCTACTACGCATTCAGACATGGGAGACTCACTCTTCCCTTCACATCTGCTACAGTTATTCATTTGTGGGAGGTTTTTGATGATTTCTTTAATGGATGTCTTTGATTTCATGAACAGCCACTCGATCGTTTTACTGGCCTTGTCGAAGCCTAACATGTCTTGGAGGTCGAAGAATTCTCGGGCAATTGGAAGGGATAATCTCATCCTCCTATCTCTTAGACCTTGAGCAGTGTAAATTTTGCTGTGCCTGTCTTTCTTCCCCGATCTCTTTGGCGGTGCTGCATCAATACTGCTCTTCTTTGGAATCACTTCAGCTTTCTTAATGGTGGCCGTGTTAGTTTTTCCGATACCCATGGCGGTCTCAGTCTCGGTCTCAATAAGACCACCTTGAACAGCCATAAGATGTGGAGGAGGTGTGTGAGAAAAGATCAAGTCATTTTCATCCAAAAATGGTGAAGGGAAGTACAATAAATATGGAGGATCTTCATTTCTAAAATTAGGGTTTTGATCATATGTTGAACAATGTCGAAACAATGTTTGGTCGGTGTAGGGAAGAGGGTTGTCGGTGTTGCTTGAAGAATACATGTCTGTGGAGTGTGTGAGGATCAACTACAACATGTGCCACCGCTTGAGGGAGGTGATGGTGATGGAGGAGAAGGTTGTGGTGGAAGTGGAATAAGAGGCTTATAAACCAGAAAGTAGTATGCTATATCTAAGACAAAAGCATTTTATTTTGTATTCGTCTTGAAAATTTATTGATCTGTTGTACAATTGTACTGCTTGGACCATGGAGGAGAGAACGAGAGAGAGACAGAGAGATAGAGAGAGAGGGGATGAACTGAATGGATAAGAAAACAGTGGAATTTTCACGTGGGAGCAGGTGAGAGATTGATAGTAACCCGACCTAGAAAGAGAGTAGTGCATAGAATGGAGATGTAAGAAGTTGAAGGTGATAGTCTGATAGATGTGCCCAAGTCTATGAAACCTAAGAGAAGGACAATTATTTCAGGCAACAATGGACCTGCTTTTACCCCCATTGAAGGCCATGCTTCTTTGACTGGATGACCATATGTCCCTTTCACTACCAAAGTGGAAGCCCCTCTCTTTCTCTCTCTCTCTCTCTCCCACGCACACTCACTGAGAGTCACAGACAAACCCCCATCTGAGTTTGTATAGTTTTCTTATGTCAAGTGCCTATCTGAATCTTGTATCTTTCATAAATTCACAAACATGTTTCAATTCCAAAGTAGCGTCTCTCTCTCTCTCTCACACACACACACTAGATTTATACAAATTTATGGTCATGAGTCCTGGCTCCTGAGTGCCTTGAATTATGCCAGATTTTAAACCGCCCTCCCCCTCTTTCTTCTTGCAGAAAACGAGGGGTCACAAAACCCTAATCATTCATTTCTCCTACATGGCCAATACTTAGGATGCTATGTAAAAGTGTGGCACCTGTACAACACTCAAAAGCTCCACTTTCATATTACACATTCAAATGTCCCATTATACAATCAGTTGGTATCTTTGCGTCCATCACTTGACGACTGACAATATTTTCAGAGACAATAACCGGACCACATGAACTAGGGTAACTATCAGTTGCTTTCATAAACATGGTCTTAGGCATAAATAATATATACTTTTACTTTATTTACAGACTTAATATATATTATGACCCTTAAATTGATAGAAACTCAAAATTGAGGCCCACCGCTAATCTATGAGCTATGATCAATTACTTTCTCAAATTAATATAGCCAAGTAAATGTAAATTATATTGAGTGATAAACGAGTTTTTTTCTTCGCCTATTAGGATGTGAGAGAATTGCCATTTATCTAATTTCTTGAGTTGTGCCAAATTTTTGTAGACTAGGTAATTTTGTGATGCTCTTTTGAGAGCATCTGCCGTGTGCCCCTTAGCATAACATTTTTTATGGACGTGTTCGAGCTTCATTGTAATACTTCGCTTTTCAAATTGATAAATTATTTTATTTTTTGTCACTGCATTAATTTGAGGGTGTTATTATATCAGATTGGGACAAATTGTAATATAACTAAGAAACTTGACTACGTAAAATATCTTATAATAAGTAGCTCAGTTAGATCTATAATTCCTTTTTGTTTTATTTTGCACATCATAAGGTGTTTTCCCAATATTTCTTTTTGACTATGACAAAAAAAAAGTATCTGGCTAGTGGTGTAGTGCACAAACCTCTGATCACTGTCAAATTAAGGAGAGTTGACTTATGCCTAACACGAGAAGAGATTATTTCTATATTTCAAGCTGTGACACCTAAATCACAATATAACAATCTAACTATTGTGCCAAGAATTGCCCTTTATGTAAACCATGAATGCCTCTCTACTAAATCCATCATGTCAACTTAGAAACATCTTATTTTGTTCCCTTATGATGGATCATCCTGCTAATGACTATACCTAAGATGAACACTGCAAGATATATGAAATATTAAGGTTAGTGTGTCTCTTCTAAAAGTTTTACAGTTTTTTTTTATTGATATGTACATAAATAAGCAAAGGCAGAGACCACCATAATTTCCCTGCAGTGCAGGCATATGCTGGAATCAGCCGTAGAGTCCCTTTTTGCTCATATATTCATAGCATAAAACTTATGAATTAGATGATCTTATATGCTAATCTAGTTAGCCTAGCTGCTGAATCCTTGTGAACTAACCTAATGTGTGGAACTATACTACTTGACAAACAAATTCTGCTACACTTACCAAAAAGTTAATCAAATTTCAATTATCAAACTAATGTGGATTGTTAGATCAGTCGTAAGTCCATTAATTTTTTTTAGTAAGACTCATGGATCCAAGTATGCACATTTATTTGATAAACAACTTTTGATAAGTTAGTTTGTATACACATCGTTACTCTTTGAAAAATAATACAAAAAAACTGGTTTGGTTAGACAAAATCTGAGCTTAAAATTATTTCAAGGGTAAATCACACTATGCTCCCTACCACTTAGGGCCTTGTGGCAATGAACTACGCGAAGTTTCAATTTCCACAAATTACCCCCTCAATTTTTTATGATTGCTTCAATAGTCCTACTTCCGTTCACTTAGCTACTTGAAAACTTCCTGAATGCAATACAAGGATCTCACTCAAATCATCTAGAAGATGATATATATATATAGTTCAACGATCTTTTCTTTGTGTCCACACAGGCTTCACTGGCACTTAGGTCACACGTAACATAAAAATCAATAGCCGTAGTGTTGATATAATAGCAGTGAGATGGTGCAACAGCTAGTACCACCATAGACAGATCCCAAAACCTAGGTTGAGGGACTATTTTCAAATTTTTTGCAAAAAGGAAGGGTTGCTAAATGTATATATATACTTTGGGGAGGTATTAGCATCTGATAGTATTATAATAATTGAGATTTTGCAAAACCTTTATTCGACAAGCCCTATGCATATCCCTCCTAGATCCATCACGGCTATTGATGTACAAGGTGAGGTTATTTGTAACACATTTATCTGAACACAAACCATAAGTTAAGCACCACCACAATTTTTATATCCGACGTTCTCTGCAGTAACATGGTTCAAAGTATTAGAAACGCTTAGTCAAATGGGATTTCCTCAAAAGATGTTACATTGGATTGAGACTTGTGTTACCACTCCTAAGTATTCTATTAGTATTAATGGTGAATTAAATGGATACTTTGTAGGGAAAAAGGGTCTTAGGCAGGATGACCCAATCTCCCCTTACCTGTTTGTAGTTGTTATGAAAGTGTTTAATGGGATGATGAAGTCTATCACTCAACAAGGTTTAAATTTCACTGGAGGTGTGAGAAACAGTCCATTTTTGCTTTGCGGATGATTTTATGGTCTTTTGCGAAGGCACTGTTGATTCTATAAAAACAATTAAAGAGGTTCTTCAAGTGTTTGACATCTTTTCAAGACTTAAACTTAATCTATCCAAGGGTCATGTCTTCCTATCTAATGTGCATCCTGAAATAAGAGTAGAGATTGTGCAAGAATTGGGATTTGAAATTGCGGAATTTTCTATCAAGTACCTTAGGGTTCCTCTTATTTCCACTAGACTTAAGGTTGTTGACTGCCACTCTCTGTTTGACAGAATCACTGAGAGGGTTAATTCATGGCAGCAAGTTCTTATCTTATGCAGGGAGGGTCCAGTTGATTAATTGTGCTCTCTTTGACATTTAGTCTTAATAGTCCTCAATATTTATCATCTCCAAGAAAGTTATTATTCTTATTAAGCAAATCTTGAGGAGGTTTATGTGGTCTAGAGTTGATTTAAAGCTTGGAGGTGCAAAAGTGACATGAGAAATTATGTCTTTACCTAAACAAGAAGGGGGTTTGGCCTTTGGCTGATAATGTGGACACAACATTTCTATGGTTGGACCCTTGGCATCTGGTAGGGTCAATTTTTCATAACAAGGGGAAAATGGTATATATTGAGAGTCTCTAGAATAGGGATGAATGTTAAGGCATGTAGTATTATTGATGGAAGGGAATGGGCTTGGCCTTTGGCTGATAATGTGGACCTTTTGGAGTTGAAAAGAAGGACCTCAACTTAAATGAAACCAAATCCAGATAGTGAGGACACCTTACAATAGTTACCTTTCCCCACACTTGAATTTAGCACCAATACTACTTGAGAACATCTTAGAAATAAAGGACAAATTCAAAATTGACATAACATTGTATGGTTTTCAGGAGCGGTGCCCAAGTATAGCTTTATTCTTTGGCTAGCTATACAAGAAAGACTTACTACTCAAGATAAATCAATTTCAAAGAGCTCAATGTGTTTTTTGTAGAGAAGTGACTGAAACTCATGCCCACCTCTTTTTTACTTGTTCTATTACAAAGAGGATTTGGTTGTTTTTGCAAAGTAAACACAATGTCCAATGGCCTAGATTGGAGTGGAGGAATTTGGTTAATTGGTTTGCTATAAATGCTAAGGGGAAGGGACTTGGAAAACTGATTGGCAGACTTATTCTTGTAACTGTGGTCTATGTGATTTGAAGAGAAAGAAATGCTAAGATTTACAGAAACGAATATAAAGATGTGGTGGACTGTATTCGATTTAAGCTTCACTTGAGCAGGGGTTACAAGAAAATTGTTCCTAATCTGTGGTTGCAAAAACAATGGGCTTTGCCAATGGAAATTATTTATTCTCCCTGAAGATTTTCTTGCTCCCGGTGCCATGTTTATGGGGTGAGGCATGTCTTTCTTCTTGATGTGCTCATGTGTTTTTCTTGGGCTGAGAAGTTTCTTGCCTTGGGTGCCTTTGTTGAATTATTGGGCGTGTCTTTGAGGTGTTGCTTCTGTCTCAATATCCTGATCATGGTGTTTGTTGCCTATTTTGGTTGTTTTGTTGCTATGTTGTTTTATCTATGTTTCTGCAGTTGCGTCCGATCTAACTACTAATTGGGGGCTATTTGTTGGATTTTGTTGTTGCTATTTGTGCTTGGTTTTGGTGCTAGATGGTGCTGCTAGACTGCTACTCCTGTTTTTTTTGTGCAGAGTACTCTATTTTATATTCTTTTGTTTTGATCCATTTTGGAAATGTTCTTTTGTTC